ACTTTAAAAACAAGACAAGGGTAAGGAATCTCCGAGATTCTTTCAAACTACTTCACAAACAAAATACAGGGGGTCCGCGAGATTGCTTCAAATTACTTAAACTACTTAAAGTTAATTAAAAAAAATAATTTACTTCAAATTAGTTTAATAACAAGACAAGAGATCCACGAGATTCTTACAATCTACTCGTACTTAAAAAAAAAACACGATGACTTCTCGAGATTCCTTCAAATTACTTCAAAATCCAGATATAAGGGATCTCCAAAACTCCTTCAAATTACTTCAAAAACGAGCCAAGAGATCCCCGAGATTCTTTCAAACTACTTCAAAAACAAAACACAAGTGGTCCCGGACATTCGTTCAAATTATTTTAAAAACAAGACAAGGAATTCTCTAGATTCTTTCAAACTACTTAAAAAAACAAGAGGTATCCGAGATTCTTTCAAATTACTTCAAAATCCAGACACAAGAGGTCTTTGAGGTGCTTTCAAACTACTTCAAAAACAAAATACAAGAGGTCCCCCAACTTCTTTCAAATTATGTACTTCACAAACACGAAACCAGAAGTCCTCGACTTTTTATTCGTCGTGAGCCGAGAGGCGGAGTTAATTGCAAAGTCCTTATTTCTCTACAAGAAACTATCATGCGACACATTATTAACTATTATGTTGTTGAAAGAAAACTATATACCTATGTCAATAAAAAAGAAATAAAAAGTTAAGCCCCGCCCACCCACCCCAATCTCAAATGTGATGAATTTTTCATTCGTTGTCAGACCGAGGGGCGGAGCTTAATTGTAAAATCCTTGTTTCTCTACTACCAGAGGTCCCCGACTTTCTTTCAAATTGCCTCAAAAAGAAGACAAGAGAACTCCGGAATTCTTTCAACCTACTTCAAAAACAACACACAAAGAGTCCCCAAGATTCTTTCAAAATATTTCAAAAACAAGAGAACGATTCTCGAGATTTTTTAAATCTACTTAAAAAACACGAAGACTCCTCGAGATTCCTTCAAATTACTTCAAGAACAAAATACAAGGGGTCCGCGAGATTCCTTCAAATTACTTAAAGTACTTAAAGTTGATTAAAAAAATTTAATTTACTTCAAATTACTTTAAAAACAAGACAAGAGATCCAGGAGATATTTCCAACCTACTCGTACTTCAAAAAAAAACACCGTGACTCCTGGAGATTCCTTGAAATTACTTCAAAAACAAGTTAAGGGATCCCGAAATTCTTTCAAACTACTTTAAAAACAATAGACAAGTGGTCCGGAAGATTCGTTCAAACTATTTTAAAAACAAGACAAGGAATTCTCAAGATTCTTTGAAACTACTTAAAAAACACAAGAGATCCCCGAGATTCTTTCAAATTATTTTGAAAACAGATCAAGGAATCCCCGAGATTCTTTGAAATTACTTCAAAATCTAGTCACAAGGGGTCCTTGAGATACTTTCACACTACTTCAAAAACAAAACACCAAGGGTCCCCGAGATTCTTTCAACTTATTTGAAAATCCAGGCACAAGGGATCCCTGGGAATCTTTCAAACTACTTCAAAAACAAAATACCAGAGGTCGTCGAACTTCTTTCAAATTATATTCTTCACAAACAAGAGACCAAAGATCCGACATTCTTTCAAATTGGCTCAAGAAGGAGACAAAGGAACCCCGGAATTCTTTCAAACTACTTCAAAAACAAAACACAAGGGGTCTTCGAGATTCTTTCAACATATTTCAAAAATAAGACAAAGATTCCCGAGATTCCTTCAAATTACTGTAAAAACAACACAAGGGATCCCCGAGATTCTTTAAATCTACTTCAAAAAAAAACACGAGGACTCCTCGAGATTCTTTCAAACTACTTCAAAAACAAAACTCAAAGGATCCATCCTCCAGTGTCTCTCAAATTACTTCACAAACAAGAAACAAGAGGTCGCCGAGATTCTTTACTCAAATTACTTCAAAAAGAAGACAAGGGAACCCCGAGATTCTTTAAATCTACTTCAAAAAAAAACTCGAGATTCCTTCAAATTACATACTTCAAAAACAATGCAAGTATAGGGGATCTCCGAGATTCTCTCAAACTACATACTTCAAAAACAAAATGCAAGGAGTTCCCGAAATTTCTTCAAATTAGTTAAATTACTTAAAATTAATAAAAAAAAATTAAAATCCTTCAAATTAGTTTAAAAACATGACAAGAGATCCACGAGATTCTGCCAATCTACTCGTACTTCAAAAAATAACACAAGGACTCCTCTAGGTACTTTCAAATTACTTCAAAAACAACCTAAGTAATCCCAGAGATTCTTTCAAACTACTTCTTGAAGTAGTTTGAAAGAATCTCTCCTCGAGATCCTATTAAATTAATTCCAAAACAAAACAAAGGATCCGCGAGATTCCTTCAAATTACTTAAAGTACTTAAAGTTAATTAAAAAAAAATTAATTTACTTCAAATTACTTTAAAAACAAAGAGATCCACGAGATCTTTCCAATCTATTCGTACTTCAAAAAAAAATACGATGCCTCCTCGAGATTCCTTGAAATTACCTCAAAAACAAGCCAAGGGATCCCGAGATTCTTCAAACTACTTCAAAAACAAAACACAAGTGGTTCCGGAAATCCGTTCAAATTACTTTAAAAACAAAGCGAGAAATCCACAAGATTCTTTCAAATTACTTCAAAATCCAGACAAGCGGTCCTTGAGATTCTTTCAAACTAAGGTACTTCAAAAACAAAACACAAGAAGTTCCCAGGTTTTTTTCAAATTATGTACTACACAAACAAGAGACCAAAGGTCCTCGACATTATTTCAAACTGCCTCAAAAAGAGGACAAGGAATTCCCAAAATTCTTGCAAACTACTTCAAAAACAAAACACAAGTGGTTCCGGGGATTCTTTTAAATTATTTTAAAAAGAGGACAAGGAATCCTCGAGATTCTTTCAAATTACTTCAAAACCAAAACACAAGGTGTCCTTGAGCTTCTTTCAAATTATATACTTCACAAACAAGAGACCAGAGGTCCCCAACATTCTTTCAAAAAAAACTCGAGATTCCTTCAAATTACATACTTCAAAAACAAGACAAGAGTAAGGAATCTCCGAGATTCTCTCAAACTACATACTTCAAAAACAAAATACAAGGAGTCCCCGAGATTTCCTCAAATTAGTTAAATTACTTAAAATTAATAAAAAAAAAATAAATTACTTCAAACTAATTTAAAAACATGACAAGAGATCCACGAGATTCTGCCAATCTACTCGTACTTCAAAAAATAACACAAGGACTCCTCTAAGTACTTTCAAATTACTTCAAAAACAAGCTAAGTGATCCCAGAGATTCTTTTAAACTACTTCAAGAGCAAAACATAAGCGCTCTTCGAGATCCTACTAAATTAATTCAAAAACAAAAAAAGGATTCCCGAGATTTTTTCAAACTGCTTCGAAAATAAACCACAAAGGGTCCTCGAGATTCCTTCAAATTACTTCAAGAACAAAAAACAAGAGGTCCGCGAGATTCCTTCAAATTACTTTAAGTACTCAAAGTTAATTAAAAAAATTTAATTTACTTCAAATTACTTTAAAAACAAGACAAAAGATCCACGAGATCTTTCCAATCTACTCGTACTTCAAAAAAAAAATACGATGCCTCCTCGAGATTCCTTGAAATTACCTCAAAAACAAGCCAAGGGATCCCTAGATTCTTTCAAACTACTTCAAAAACAAAGCACAAGTGGTTCGGGAAATCCGTTCAAATTATTTTAAAAACGAGGCAAAAGATCCACAAGATTCTTTCAAATTACTTCAAAATTCAGACAAGTGGTCTTTGACATTCTTTCAAACTACTTCAAAAACAAAACACCAGGGGTCCCCGAGATTCTTTCAACTTATTTCAAAATCCAGGCACAAGCGATCCTTAGGAAACTTTCAAACTACTTCAAAAACAAAACACAAGGGGTCCTTGAGCTTCTTTCAAATTATATATTTCACAAACAAGAGACCAGAGGTCCCCGATATTCTTTCAAAAAAAACTCGAGTTTCCTTCAAATTACATACTTCAAAAATAAGACAAGAGTAAGGGATCTCCGAGATTCTCTCAAACTACATACTTCAAAAACAAAATACAAGGATTCTCCGAGATTTATTAATAAAGAAAATTAATAAAAAAAAAATAAATGACTTCAAATTACTTCAAAAACAAGCTAAGTGATCCCAGAGATTCTTTCAAACTACTTCAAGAGCAAAACATAAGCGCTCCTCGAGATTCTATTAAATTAGTTCAAAAACAAGACAAGATTCTTTCGAACTACTGCAAAAACAAAACACAAATTACTTCACAAACAAGAAACAAGAGGTCCCCGAAATTCTATCAAATTACTTCAAAAAGAAAGCAAGGGATCCCCGAAATTCTTTCAACCTACTTCATAAACAAAACACGAGGAGTCTTCGAGATCATTTTTATTGCTGACCTGACCTGGGTCGACGAAAATTTTGTCCCAACCGCCCCTGACTCTAAGAACACTATCTTTGCATTCTTAACAATAATTCATAAAGCCATATTTTAATGATCCTTGATGGAACCTCGGCGGTCGACAAACACTAAACAGCGACGGATTGAATTTATTTTGTGAATAATTATAACTGTGGCGTATGTCAAGATAACTTAAGTCATTGCATACAAACTTGATGTAACGTTATAAAACGTTATCTTTTTGGAAAAAATTGTATGTGGATTTTGCCAAAAGAACTCGCCGCAAATGCCAACCGTACGCTACTGAGTTTTAATAAAACTGTGTAGGCAACCAAAAATACACAAGATTTTATAAATAATATAATATGATAATACTAAACCCAATTTGCAATTTCTTGGTGTTTTTCTTTCTATTTGTATGTACAAAAACCCAAAGTAAACATGTCTTTATTAAAAAAACCAAAAAATAAAATATTTCTTCTACATTACAGTAAAATAAATCAAAAATGAACAATTAATAAAAACGGTTGCAAAAAACATTAGTCAGAATCATTTGAATCATCTGAATCATCAATATCGACCAAACTCATATCAGCAGCCAATTTCTGAGCTATTTCTGAGTCTGGCAGAGCACTTGCCATTGCCTGGACAAAATGAATCTTGGTTCTTGCATTCCATTTGTACTTTTTGGCAATGGGTTCCAGTAATTCTCTTGCTGCAATTAATTACCCATGAATCACTTATAGTTATACCATATTAAATTAATTTTTTAACTGTAGGTAGGTATATATGAACCTACCTTCCTGGACACATTCATCAAGGGGTTTCGGTCCATAGAAAACTGGAACATTCGAATGATGGAACCTTGTTTGTGCATGCCTTCGCAAAGCCTCCATTCCAGCAAGATATATTGGGATATTTTTATTACAGTACCTGCACCTGGCATTATCTTCGTTTTCACTTTTTTCCAACCAATCCCTAAATTCTGGTAACTGTTCCCAAGATTCGTCGTAAAGTGAAACTTTTTGTCTTTTCTTGCTGGGGTTGCTAGTTTCTGAACTCATTTTGGCAGCCGTTAGTTAAGTAACAAAGAAGTTAAACAGGTTAAAACAAATATAAACAGTACTGGAATAAGAAAATTTCCTATTGGTTAAATACGAATGAGATTGAGCATTGACCAATCAGCTGTCGATACTCACGTGTGAGAATTATCAAAACTTGGCGCTAAAATCACTTCTTATAATCTACTTTAAATTACATAAATCGTTAGCTGTTTCAAGAAAACTTCAAACGGTGCACAATTCAGTAATTAATGACTTCGTTGCATCATAAACTTCCAGTTGAATAATAAATGAAAAATCGAAAAAAATTCTCCGCGCTGCAATGAATATTTAATACTCATTGTCTTTTGCATCTCCACGTAATTATTGAATTTAAAGCTTTGATATATAATTTATACGAAACGCACCAGTTAACTTTAATAAAAGACCGTAAAAATAACAACGGACACGACTACACATCTCGAGACTTCCTCTATATATATAGACCCCGAACCCTTAAAACCCCATTTATCAAAAGATCTACCATGACGAACACAATCAAAGAGTGCTTTAGTCTTACCATCATCACTCTGCGCTTTGTGGGTTTATATCCGGACAACAATGAGCCTTTGGTGAGAAAAATCTGGGCATATACTTTGTATTTTCTTGAAGTGTTACTCACGATACTCACGCTGGTCAATCTTATTCTTGAGGACAACCTGGATACGATGGTGATGAACCAGATGGTGATATTTTTAACCGAAACCGGGTCAAGTTGTTTCAAACTTTTACCCTTTTTAATCAATGGACACGAAATCAAACACTGCATCAATTATTTTGGGCACCGCAGATTTGCGCCTAAACATCCTCAAGCTAAGAAAATCATGGACGATTGCATCCGAGTATGCAAACGAAACATCAGAATCTTCTTCGGTGTTGTCGGAGTTGCTGCGTTTTTCTTTAACACGTTTCCTCTGATCAGAGAGAAATACACGCTTCAAGTGAATATCTGGGTTCCGTATGAATTGTCAAGAGATATAGTTTTCATTCCGACGTACATTTGTGTTCTGATAGGTATGTACACTTTTCTTGTTTTTCTCTGTTTTTATTTTTTTCTTTTTCAGTGTCTTTGCACATTGTGTTTGTTGGCGAAATGATAGGACCTTTAATTGGAAGTATGGCTTACCTTGTCACAGCTCAAGTCAAAATTTTGAAATATAACTTACGAAATCTTGCTAAATTTTCAAAAAAAAATTGTTCTGATTCTGGTATGGTCACTTTTGACAGTGTCTCCGAAATTTTAAAGGAATGCATTTCGTACCACAATGACATTCTGTTGTAAGTTAAAATTATGTCTTATGGTTCTTTCAGTGAAAACTTTTTTCAGTTTTGTCGAGGAATACCAGAGCTGTTTTTCGTTTTGTGTATTTTGTCAAATTGCAGGAAACATGTTGACGATGTGCTTTAGTTGTATTGGTTTAACACTGGTTCGTTCAAACTAAATTTTTACTTGTTATAATAAATCGTTTGCAGGTTTCTTTTACAAACACTGACGCTATTATATATGTGATGGCTTACGGTATTTTATCGTTTGAAATTTTTTTCTATTGCCACTACGGGACACTCTTGTTTGAAGAAGTGAACGTGAAAGATAGTGTTGAATTTTGTACTAAATTTTGCTTTCAGAATGAAACTCTTATTCAAGACGTATGTTTAGCTTCGTGGTATAAATATGACACTAAGATCAGGAAAATTTTGCTGATCATCATGGAACGGTCAAAAACACCTTTAGTTTTATCGGCGGGGAAAGTTGTGGATTTGACTTACCGTACTTTTATGACGGTGAGTTTTTGTCTTTCTTGTTTTTTTTTTGGTTATAGATAAATATTTTAGGTTTTAAAAACGAGTTATTCACTAATTGCTGTGATGAACAACTATTAGTAAGAAAAGAAAACAAAACTTTCTTTTATTAAAACGGTAATAACTGCACCATCAGTATTTAAATTTTAAAAAAGAGTTCAAGACTTAGGTACCTATAATAAATTTGTCACACTTACCTAATGAAAATATTTCAGAATCTGAAGCTGACAACATTGTTTGATTTGATTGTTAAACAACTATTCTATGTTTGTGTATTTGTCCTATAAGTATCTAAAGTCTGATTTGAAAACTACATATAAACATACACATTTGTGATATGAAATTTTTAAGACTGTGCTTTGTTATTAGATATGAATAACATTTTATAAGCATGCTTTAAAATTAAGTACCATTTTGTTGTAGCTTTTACAATAGGTTACGATGCTTTCACTCAATCCAGGTGAGAGGGCAACACACTTTTTATTGTAAACTTATGAAAATATATTTCTCTTTGAAAACTGTGTAAATAATTTTTTTAAAAATATGTTATACTTAATACCACTGGAGAAAAAATCCGGCATCGAAGCTTTGTAAGTTATTTTAAAATTCATTCATTTATATTAGAGTTATGCAACTTATATTGCACAGTACACATTAATATATACTTCCGAAAATATTTGTCCATTTTCCTTCTAATATTTTTTCTAGCATTGTATGACCAATGAGAGCCAATCATTTCATCTGTTAAATTTTACTTGTGTAAAGTTGGTTGCATAATCTTTGAACAAGACCAGTGTTTTTGTATCATCTTGCACTGATTATAGAAAACTGTTATTATTGACACTTTTGGCTGATATCTCCATCACACCGTAAGATGGTGCTAGAGTGTTTATTGATTCGATTAGGTGCCCTTTATAAACTCTCTTTTATAATGTTTGCACTTAATGTATTTTCTAGTGACATAAATTGATATTGTAAAGAAATAAAGCCTTAAATTTGAATCATTTAGTTGCTGTTAGTTATTTTCGTTTACTAAATAATTAAAACAATTTTATTAAAAAACAAACGTGAAAATATATAAATACAAGCCTAAAGGTGATGAATCTCGTTTTCACAATTTAAGCTTATTTTTATACATTAGTTGAACTAATAAATCTAAAGAATATGTTATTATAAATTATAAAATATACAGAAATGCTTGGCTGCAGACAGTTATACACCAGCTGTAGGTGACAGTGAAAACAATTTTTGAACGCATTTTCTACACATTTGAATATTAGAATACATTACATGGTGTATTTTGCGAAAAGAGATTAAAACAAATAATTTTGTTTATATATTTTTCATTATATTTTTACATTTATATTTTATGCTGCAGTTGACAACACGGAATTGTTAACACTATTCATTGAAAAAATTTATAAAAAGTAAATTTCTAGCTCTTTCTAACAAAAACTGACCTCAGTCCCCTAACTAACTACTAACCTAAAAAATTGACATTTACTAGTTCTCTAGACGGTCTACCATACTCGCTAGACGAGGTATAATATTTTTTTGGTTTTTTGTATGAAAAAATGATATTAATATAGATGTATCTACATCAAACTGCAGCTTTTTTCATATTCTAGAGCGCAAAGACCAGTTCAATCAATTAAAAACATATGGCTGAGAAATATCGTGAAAAAGCACCATTGTATGGTTTCTTTTCAAGTTTTTTGAGTCATAACCATCATAGAATCGCTTGAAAATTCGCACATGGATAAAACATCACTTTTTACAGGTCGCAGAGTCATTAAATGTTTGTTAGTGGTACAATTTGTTTAAATAATAATGTGTTTATTAAAATCAAAATATACCACAAATTAATGCAAAATACGTCGAATAATTTTAACAGGAATATCAGAGGAAAATCAATGATCTATTGCTTAGCCGAGTTTTTAACAAAAACTAACAAGTATTGAAAAAAATGGGTATCAATTCGACAGAATTTGAGCCGTTAGTTCAGTACTTTGCCGATAGGAGCGCCACTAAAATTTACGGAAGCGACTTTCCAGGCAAAACCCTTATCGCCTGCTCTACCATAAGCTGATTGTTAGCGTTCTGGGCTGATTTTTCTAATTTATGGCAAGGAATTCAATTTTATAACAAGCCGCCAGGACCGGTCGTAGTAATCTATTGTTAAGGAGATTAACTTTTACGCAATGAGGTAATATCATAAAACCGAATTAAAACTGGGGAACTATGATTACTAAAAATTCATTGTTATATTATTGTTAATATATATTTTGCTTTCTTAATTAATAAAACTAATAAACATGTTTATAATAGTAATAAAAAATTTATAAAATACAGCTTTTGTTTAACACATATAAGTAGCTAAGTGTATCTACTACTTATCCCAGAAAAGAGGTGTTTTAAAAAAGCATGCCAGTCTTGGTGATGAAAAATGTACTCCTAATTAATTTTTAAAGTACATAAAAAAAAAGAAAGAAATTTTATTTATTTTAAAAAAAATCTCTGGCAAAGGCAGGTTCCTCTTTCTTCTTGAATCAATTATTTCGGGCAATAATGCGCCAAGGTAAAATGTGCCAAGTTTATCTGCCATCTTCTTACATATTTCTTGGTTTTTTTCTATATTAATTCCTTTGGGTGTCCACACAACAAAATAAACTTGTGAAATACCCGTAACAAGCATTTGTCCCTGGACTTGAATGTAGTAATCATGATTTTTTTTTAGTTTCAATTCTCTGTGTGTCAATGTACAAAATCTGATTTTTTTTTCCTAACCGCTTCTTCGGGAGACAAATCTTGCGATTTTGAAGCGCATTTAATTTCGACTAATGCACTCGTTATCCTCTAGAACCCTGTCTGGACTAACAGCCAAATAAGGAAATTGTTTTGAAATAAACAAGCCACACCGTTCTGTTTTTATATTTTTATTTATTTCAAAACACTTGACAGCTTTTTCCTCACTTTGTTGTCCATAATATATATGTCTATTACCTCTAAATGTACTGTACAACAGAGACTCCACAGTTTTAGCTATTGCTGTAGTCGATCTAAGTTTGTAAATACATACGAGTACGTCCAAAATTTTAAGCCATAACCCTAATTTCTCTTTCTTTTGCCCAAATGTGCCTGTTGCTTAGTGTCTATTTCAATTTGATGTAAATTCAAAGATAATTTTCTCAAAAAAACACTGTCACAAATGTTTCTACATCCATGTTAGGATTATCTAAAAAATATTTAAACCATAATCGCAGTCGGGACCAGCATACGTACATTTTTTTTACGACATTTTTTTACGAATACTTTGTCTAAGACGAGCTTGTTTCATTAACGAACAATATTTTTTTGTTATTAAACCAGAACCGTTTTAATCACAATATAGTTACTTATCCCCTCTAAAAAATTGATGACGTCACCTCAAAATTTTGCTGAATAAATCCTATCTAAAATGTACAAAATATGATGAGTCTCTTCTTGTAATTTATCATCCAGTTCATATTTTTTGGATTCGGATATACAGGGTGACTCAAAAAATTTAATGAATGCGCAAATTTATTTTTTTGATTTAATCAGGAACTACAAAACCGAATGCTTTGAAATCTAATGTGCAAAAAAAACATAATAGGCATGCAGTCGTCCCGTTTCCGATAGCGAGGGAAGTACTGTCTAAACACTTTAGACCAATTTTTTTGATTTTCCCATTTCTCCATTTCTCAATTTTTCTTTCCATTTTTCAATTTTTCAAGATTTCAGTTTTGAATTTTTTCACTTTTTCGATTCTTCAATTTTCCTTCCATTTTTCAGTTTTTCAGTATTTCAGTTCTGGTATTTTGCAATGTTTCGGATCTTCAATTTTTCCATTATTTGATGTTTCGATTTCTCGGTTTTTCAATTTTTCGATAGGTATTTTAATTTTTCAATTTTTAAGTTCTAGATTTTCCGTTAATTTTTTTGTTTTCCTTGATGTTTTGATTTCTCAATTATTCGTTTTTTCAAGTTCTCGGTTTAGATTTTTTTGGTTTTCCAATTCTTCGATTTTTAAATTATTTAATTTTTAGATTGTTCAATTTCTCAATTTTTAGATTTTAAAATTTTTCGGTTTACCTATTTTTTTCATTTAAAATGTTTCAATTTTCCAATTACTAACTTACGATTTTTCAATTTTGGTCTTCTTAATTTTTTGATTTTTTGACTCCTCTACAGTTGATGTTTTGATTTCTCGATGTTTCAGTTTTTGAACATTCCGATGTTTCGATTTTTCGACTTTTTGGCTTTTCGAATGTTCAATTTTTTGATTTTTGAATTTTAGATTTTTGTTTTTTTGATTTTTTTGGTGTTTCGATTTCCCAATTCTTCAATTTTTCGATATTTTAATTTTTCAATTTTTCGAATTTTTAAATTTTTGATTTTTCTTTTCTTTTATACTTAAATAATTCTCTTTCAGGCTTTGGAATTACGATAAAAAAACGCAACTGGAGTATTGAGACTGGAATTTTCTTCATTTAATGAGATGTCAAATTTCTTTTCGTTTGTTTTAATAAAGATGTTATTGTTTTTCACAGGTGTATTGATGGTTGCCTGCACCAACAATGAATCTGATTCCAGTGGTGTAGAAAAAGGAATACACAGATACATTTTACAATAAATACAATGACCGGCACACGGATATTCGGATACACAGCTACACTTAACTTCTGGAGGCTCTTTTACAAAATAAGCCGAAAAGTGTAACACTTTTTATTGTAAACCTACGAAAATATATTTTCCCTTTGAAAAATGTGTAATTAAATTTTTTTTAAATGACTCTTGCTTCATGACAAAATTTTTCATACTTACACCACAAAACAGGTATCGAAGTTTGATAAGTTCTAAAAAATTTAACTTATTTTGCACAGTACACACTTACTGGTACTTTCAGGAAAAATTTAGGTTCCCATCTAGATGTGCTTTCTGAAAATTTTAGCAAGATTTTCGTTCTAATCGAGGTTCTAATTTTTTTTCAAGCACCATATATTAATTACACAAAATTTATGCACGCATTTTCTACACCACAAAGTTTTTTTTAGTTTCTC